ACGTATGTACGTATGTACGTATGTATGTATGTATGTATATATATATATATATATATAATCCGGCTGCTCTTTGGCGCTGTGTAACGGCTGCCACAAGCGCTGGCAAACATTGGCTGCTATTAGCGCTAAATTTTGGCTGTTTATACGGCTATATTTGTAAAACAGCTGCATTAGCAGTCATAGAAAAATATCTTATTTTCAACAAGTAACATGTCGGTACACACAAAAAAATTTATTACTTTAATGCCTACAGACAGAAATATAATTGTCCAGGGTCAACGGCTGACGGACATACATATGGATCATTTCCATAGACTTTTACAAAGTTGTTCAGATTATAGACCTGTCGGAATACAATTGCCTGATATGATTCAACCTGTATCACAAGATAAAAAACACATTCAAATATTGTGTAGCTCGTCACATTGGGTGTGTTGTTATTATGATACAAAAAATATATTTGTATATGATTCCTCACATAATAAAACATTGTGTAAAGATCATGAGCGATTCTTGGAAAAATTATTTCCAGCACATGACTTTAAAAAACATCCCGTCAAATTTCCTAATGTGCAACGTCAACCGAACTGTAGCGATTGTGGTGTTTTTGCTATAGCTTTTGCTACTTCATTGTTATTCAATATTAAACCTGACAAAGTAAAGTATGAATATAAGTTTATGCGTTCACATTTGGTACAAATTTTGGAAAATAATGTTATGGAACATTTTCCTCAGGATTTGCAAAGTGCTAATCCTCAAAAGGTACTTCCATTAGCAGTGATAAGAGATAGAGAGGCTAAAGCGACTGCTCAACGTATGAAAAGACATTTTAAAAGTAATTGCGCTAAAGAATGTCGGGCAGAAAAACAGGATTTAGAAAATCGCGCTACAAAGCAGCAACGATGCAAACAGAATTTACCAAATAATCGTGCTCAAGATTCACAATGTGCTATTTCTCAAAGAGTACTTCCATTAGCGATAATAAAAACAACAGAAACTGAAGCAATTGCTAAAAGTGCAAAGACACATTCTGAAAGTAATTATGCTACAGAATCTCGTGCAGAACAGCAGGATTTAAACAATCGCGCTATTATGAAGCGATCCAAACAGAATTTAAAAAAGAAAATAATTTTAAAACGTAAAGAAAAAAATATAATTATTCGAGGCAAATGGATTACGGACGCTCATATGGATCATTTCCATACACTTTTGCGAAGTTGTTCAGATTATGAACCTGTCGGAACATGGCGAATTCAATTGCCTCAATTTATTCAACGTATACCAGAAGATAGAAAACATATACAAATATTGCACAGTTCGTCAGTTCCGTTCAATTGTGGAAATCCAATACTTAGAGATAGAAACGGACATTGGGTATGTAGTTATTACGATACAACAAAAATATATATCTATGATTCACAAAATAAACAAGAATTGCACGAACATCACGAGATATTTTTGAGAGAATTATTTCCAACGTACGACTTTGAGAATAATCCTGTCGAATTTCCTACTGTACAATATCAACCAAACTGTAATGATTGCGGAGTTTTTGCTATAGCTTTTGCGATTTCATTATTGTTTAATATTAAACCTGACGAAGTTAGATATGATCATAGAGTAATGCGTTCACATTTGTTGAAGATTTTCGAATCGAATACAATTGAACATTTTCCTCAAGATCCACAAAGTGATGCTCAGACAGTGCTTCCATTAACGGTAATAAGAGATAGAGAAGCTAAAGCGACTGCTCTACGTAGAAATAGACATTTATCTCAGAAAGATTCCTGTGAAAACATTAGTAATACTGGAAATAATTGCGCTGAGAAACGTTGTCGAGAGGAACAGGACTCGTCAGAAAATGATCGTGCTAAAAAACGGCGTCGATATCAGAATTCAGAAAACAATTGTGTTAATAATACTACAATTAATCGTGCTGAGAAACGTTGTCGAGAGGAACAAGATTCGTTAGAAAATGATTGTGCTAAAAAACGGAGTCGATATCAGAATTCAGAAGACAATCGTGCTCAAAGACGACGTCAGTATAAAGACAACTTAGCAAATAATCGCCTTAATAAGCGAAAATATCTTATACATTCTCAACAAGGACGAGATAGACAAAGAAAATATTATCTTCTACATTCTCAGCAAAAACGAGATAGACAAAGAAAATATTATCTTCTACATTCTCAGCAAGAACAAGATAGACAAAGAAAATATTATCTTCTACATTCTCAGCAAAAACGAG